AGTCCTGGTTTAGTCCTGGTTCAGTCCTGGTTTAGTCCTGGCTTAGTCCTGGCTTAGACATGGTTAAATCGTGGTTTAGTCCTGGTTCAGTCCTGGTTTAGTCCTGGCAACCGGCTCTGCGGTTGCAGTGTGTATATATTTATAATCCGCTAATTTCAGTCCGTCCCGGTTTAGTCCTGGACTATTGGACTGTCCCTGATTTATCACAGGCACGGGCAGGTAACAAGTGGAACGTTAACGGGTCCGGGCGGGTGCAGATTTAACTTTGATATAATCACAGGTAACGGGCGAGTGTGGTGAGGGTCTCCAAAAATGGACCCGTGCTGGACTCTGACTCCAGGTCCAGTTTTTGAGGAAGGTAACAACATTACATGACTTAAATCCTACAAGAGTTAATTTTGTGTAATATGAGATCTTTAAACTAAGTATTTTAGTTTTTGTGACTCCGGAAAGCATGTGCTACAATTTGCCCTCTAAAACGATGAAGTGTGCGGTTTGTTTAAGCTTCCAGTGTAAAATAGATCTGCTCTGAGTACAAAGTGTCTTCTGGGTATATGACTGTAGCAGTGTCCCAAATTATGACCCAAAATACTGTACGGTATATGGTGCGACTATAGAGCCACGGAAACTATGTCCCTCTTAAAGGGAACTCAAAGTCACTCCTTTAAACGTCATTTTGAAACTTTTTGAAATATCTCTGGATAAACATTGTATTACGGAGAAAGCTCGGTGTCTGTGGCGCTCTGATAACAAAAGAGAATGGAGCCTGTTGTGACTAAATATAGCAGCGGAGCCAACAGATCCTAGATAAGCAATGTTTTATACCCAGGACTGTCTAAGAAAATGTTTTGTTTTCTGAGATATAAACCAGGTCTACAGTAAGACTATTCCAGACGTAAATCAGAGCTAAGCCAGAAGTAAAATAGAATGAGACCAAGAGTTTCCTCATCAAAAACAGACTGTGTACCATTTGTTCTTTTGAATTTCAATTAAGAACGAAAAATAATAAAATGGGGAAACAGTTTATTTCATTATTCTTCTTTAGTGGTAAAATAAATAAATAAATAAAAAGTTTTTAAAATATATTTAATTTGAAGTTTATTTAAAATAACGCCACTCAAAAAAACATTCTCAGTGCCTATTTTAATTTTGATATTTCATTCTCTCTGGTTTATATGAAGTTCTGCTGCTAGAAGGACATACTTGAAAAATTGTTGCTATTTTGTGGACAAACATGTCGCCTTCTTTTATAGTGACACGTTTACTTTTGCTTCAAAGAAAGTAACTGTTGAACTGAATGACGAGAAACATGAGCAGCGAGGTGATAAAATGTTGTTCAGTTGAATAGAACTATAATAAAAATACTTTTTATTATAGATCAGGCATGTCCAAGATATGGCCCGTGAGCCAAATGTGGCCCTCAGACAAATTTTTCTTGGCCCTCAGGCTTCCAGGTGAATTGGCCCAAATTAGCTTGTATCAATTAAAAAATTACTTTTTACTGCAAGTGTTTTTCGAAAATCTACCTTGATAAAGTGAATATTTCATATTTAGTGTGTGGTTTTAAGGATCTTAGCATAAATAAAGGACTGATGGCTCATTCTAACATGTTAAACATGCAGATATTTCAATTATTCACTGTACTGAGCATCAGTCTACAGTCCTCGATCAGCCCTTTACTTCATCTGTGTGGATATGTGGCCTTTGATGAAAAAAGTTTGGACACCCCTGATATAGATCCACGGTTCACACTGCAGCAGAACTTCTGGGGCAAATAAACCAGAGAGAAATAAAATATCTAAATTAAAATAGACATAGAGAAATTAAATATTTGAAATAGAGGTCAAAAAACTTTTTTGGTTTGAACACTGAAATGGAATAATGAAATAACAAACTGTTTTTCCATTTTAATGTTTTTCGTTCTTCATTGAAATTCAAAACAACAAATGGTACATGAACCACAAACACATCTGGACTTGTGTTTTGTTTCACTCACACATGTTTAACACACAAACCCTGCAGATTTAGGCTGAATTCTTCTCCCAAACAACACTCTGTTTTACCTTATGATGTCACGGGGTAATACAGGAAGCGCTCCACTGTGTTTTTAAACTCCACACACCTTCATTAGAATCATTTGGATGATTTCTGCACTGGAATTGCCAATCTCTACTGAACAAAAGGTAAAAGGAGCTGTTAACTTGAAAACTATTCAGGTGTAACAGAGCATTTTGAGCTACAGAGACGTATGAAATAATAAAAACGGGTTACTCAAATGTGTGTGAATGAAACAAAACACAACTCCAGGTTTGTTTTTGAGGAGGTAACAACATTAAAACATGGATTAAAGCTCAAAAAGTCAATTGTGCATAATATAGGATCTTTAAACGTGTATTTCTCCAGGATAATGCGTCCTAAAACAGCCTGATTCATCAACCGATTTCCATGAACTGTCTGACCTCGCAGCATTAGGATCACTTGACGGTAGACGGGCTGCTATTTGGTCGTGACGTATGTAATGCGCCAAATCCCGTAAGAAGAAGGGCAATAACGTCTTTCCCCTTGATAAAATTCACCAAACATTCTCTTTGTTCCGGCTTTAAATCCTCGATCTCGGGAATCGTTGCCAACACAGAATGTCTGTCTTCGTCTGCATCCATCTCGACGCTTTGTTTACTGTTGTGCTGTTCCACAAAAGGGACCCAGACAGACGCTTGAGTTTGACGTCATGACTTCACAGCTCTTTACTGATTGGCCGGTCCGCAGTCTACAACTTCAGGGGTTCTTGTAAAACCGTCTAGTGTATTTTGATTTCTGACATAGTCACTGGAGAGAAATGAAATTAAGCGGAGGTACAACGTGGCACCAGCCCTGATCTCTAAACCTGAAGTATGATGAAGAAAACTGAATCAAAAATTGAGATCCATCGACATAACCCCAATCCTTGCATCTATGCACTGGCTTCCTGTTAATTTTAGAATTGATTTAAAGATTTTATTGCTTGTTTTTAAAGCTTTGAATGTATTTACACCTCTGCGCTCGCTCTGAGGTCTGAGGCCCCGCTCCAGCTCGTGGTCCCTAAGACGAGATTAAAACCAGAGGGACAGGACCTTCTCTGTGGTCGACCCAAACTCTGGAACACTCTGCCCCCTTCAGGTCTGAACAGCTCCCACAGTGGAGAGTTTTAAGTCTGTTTTAAACACTTTTGGATTCCTGCATTAAGATTTAATATTCAATAACTAGCAAGGTTAAGGTAGATAAATGTAAAAATAAACTTGCACTGTGTAACTTTTCTGGTGGAGAGTCTGCTGCCTTCCTGTGTCCATGCAGATGTCACTGCTTTTTCTTGCATGGTCCACACTATGACATTGAGCTTATTTATCTGCACGGAAACCAGGAAACAGTGCAAGCTACAGGTCAGGTCTGTGGAGAGGCAACCCCGCTCACAGTTTGTTTTTTTTATGTATTTTTGAGCAGTAAACCTAAAATTTAATAAATGCAAATAGTGTTTTAAAGGTTGTATAGAGGATTTTCCAAGGAACGAGAAATCCAGCGACTGTTTGTCCTTTTTCAAATGTTGCGCATGCGTGAAACCACCCCCCCTCCCCTACAGCTCCTACGTAGAAACGCCTCCTCCCGCCTCCTCCTTACGCCAGAAACAGGTTTGTTTACAGCCGGTGCTGCACATGACTTGTAAACAACTAACTACAGTGTTGGTTAAGCAAGACGGAGAAGTGAGGAGCGGGGGGAGGGGGTGCGCGGACATTTCATGCGCGGACGAGAAGCGAGGAGCAGGGAGAGAGGAGAGAGAGAGAGAGAGAGAGAGGAGAGAGGGGAGCGGTGCGCGGAGATTCCGTGCCCGGAGAAGTGAGGAGCAGGGGGAAGAGTGGATCGGGCAGCGGGGAGAGGAGCAGGAAAGGGGAGCAGAGAAGAGTGCGCGGAGATTCAGTGCGAATGAACTAGCTACAACACGCAGCAGCAAGCGGACTCTTTCTTTGCACTTGAAAATTACGTTTTCAGACATAGGATATCGCTTTCGTGTCCTGAAAAACGTTTGTCTAGCTCTTGGAAATAAAGTACGTTTTCATAATAAGCAGAAGTTTCCTGTCCAGGAGTAATTTGTGGACCAGTGCGTCAGTCTTTAGACCCTGCGTCTGCTTCAGTCGCGCCATCGCTGGAATGAATCTACAAGAATCACCTTAGTTTGGCTTCGCTGCTTTTCCCCTTGTCTTCTTCTTTCAGCGACTTGAAATGTCTGTATATTTAATGCTTATACATTACTGCTCCTGGATTCTTGTCGCCATTGCAACAAACTTTGTGCTAACTGCGAGGAAGATATAGGTCAAAAAAAGCCGCTAAGAACTGTTGCGTTGGTGGAGTAAACAGCGTCTGTGCGTCTTGCGTCTGTGGACTGCGTGACAGTCGTACGTAAACCACGTACCGGCGGTGCGCAGGCAAGTCAGTTACGCTAGAAACGTAGGGAGTTTGATTGACAGCCTGTCAGCTCACAGATAACGAGGCAGTGTCGTTATCTATTGGCAAATGTTTTAGCCCCACCACGTCCAGAGTTGATGAATTTTTATTCTCTTTTTTTTGGTCATCATAATTACAAGGCTACTGCACCTCTATAATCTATCATTGACAACTTGAAACAAAAAAAAATCCTCCATACAACCTTTAAGTCTTGTCTTGTGTCTTTTATTATTTTTAATGTATTTTATTGATTTTATTTATTTATTTATTGCTATTCTATGGTTTTGGTCTTATTTTGCTTTACTGGTTTTATTGTTTTAAGACTAGTATGATTAAATCTGAGCGTTTATTTGATCATTTTATTATATTATTGTCGTTATTAGTATGTATTTGTGCAGCACTTTGGGAACTGTTTGTCTTTTTTGGTTCCATATCGACACCACTGCCACGGCACTAGTAGCTCTAATGAAGTAAAAATTAATAAAGTTAAAAGATTCCCGTGGGAGTGCTGGTAGTGCCCTCCTCACCTTCCTCATGAGGGACACCAGGTCCTTGGGCCAGGCCGGGCTGTACTGGACACTGATGGTGCTGAAGAGCTGCAGCAGAGACTCCACTGAGTTACTGGCGTGGATGTCATACGGCCTCTGAGAGAAGACAGGGAGAAAATATGTGAGCAAATCGAGTACGCCGATGAAGATATGGTAATTTATGCACACATGATGGGCTTTTATATCAGTTCAGTTCATCTTCATTGATACTGTGCCACGTATCTGCATTAATCAACTTCTATACACTAAAACCTGTCATAGAACAAAACATAAAGCTGCTTAATTTGCATCACTAATTCACCTACTTGTACTTGTTTCCTTGGAGATGTGATTGCTTTGCTTGGCGTTTTTCCACAGTATTGCATTAAACTTATCTCTACGGATAATTAAGTGACACCACCAGGCCAGTTTACAAGTCAGATCTGTGGAGAGGCGAGTGTGCTCATACCAGAGGTGGGGATTTGCAAGTCGTGACTTGAACTCGAGTCAGATTTGAGTCACTATTTTCAGGACTTGAGATTTGACTTGATAAAATGGACTGTGACTTGGGACTCGACTTGGACTTGAAGGTCAGTGACTTGGGACTTGACTCAGACTTGAGCCCTGTGACTTGAGAAGACTTGATGCTTCTAAAAAATATATGTTTTTAGAAAATACAGTTGATGCATACAGTGCTTAATTTTAAAAGAACAAACTGGAACATGTCCCTCCCACTTCTCTCTTTGTTACTTGGATGTAACTAAAGTACTGTAATACGGTATCTTCAAATGTACTACAGTAATGTACAGTACAAAACAGTAAAACAGAGGGAACTACATAGAACATGATCCTTAAATGTCATGACAAAATAACTGTTATTAAGCACTTTAAAATCTGAATTTTTTTTCTATTCTGACTGTGATGATTCACACTACGATCTAGACATTTAAAAGGAAAAATGTGCATTTCTACAACTCTTATATAAATACTCATATGTCATTTTTAAGCACAATTTAGTTTAAAATTCATATAAATTGCAAAAATCTAAGCTATATTTGGTACTTTGGTTTAAAGACTTTTAAGTGACTTGAAGCTCAAAGCAGACGACTTGGACTTGACTTGTACTTATGGACCAGAGACTCGAGACTCGACTTGGACTTTCCTGAATTTGACTTGGGACTTGACTCGGACTTGAGACTTACTTGAGACTTGCAAAACAACGACTTGGTCCCAACTCTGGCTCATAGTAAGAATGCATGTTTTTCAAGGTATTTTTGAGCTCTCCTGTAATTGAATAGATGCATGAAAGAGAAGTTTAATGTCAGACTGTGGAACATTATAAACAAAGTAATAAAATCTCCACGGGAACAAGCACATCCCCAAAACCACACTGAAAAAATACATGCTGTAATTTAACTTCTTGGGTTCAGACAATAGAGTAGAGTATATTTAACTTGTTGACATGTTTCGGGTGCTGCTGCTGCATCTTCAGAAGTGTCCCCGGTGTTGGTGGTGACTTATCGTATATCAGCTGTTGTTACTTCCTGTAGGCGTGGCTTCCAGGTCGCTCACACTGAACACGTCGCCTGGTCGCCCGTGAATGTCTGTGCCTCGTTTCTAATTTCAATGGCCTCCCTGATCCAGCGTTTGAACTTGTTGTTTTCCGATCCAATGACCCGAGCCCCGTCCCAAACCATGATGTGATTTTTTTTTTTTTTTTTTTTACAGCAATCTGATATGGCGTGGTCAGTCTGAGCGACCTGCCAGGTCCATCAGGCTGACCACGCCTACAGGAAGTAACAACAGCTGATATACGACACGCCACCACCAACTACGACAGTTCTGAAGATGCAGCAGCAGGAGCCCAAACATGTCAACAAGGTAAATACATCTCCCATGATATTGTCTTTAAAAAGAACCCAAGAAGTTAAAGCACATAAGAAGACAAAATGAACATCTTTGGTTTAGACACATGATGTACTTTCAACTTACTTCGCCAACTGTGCTCTTTTCATATTTCAGATACAATGCCCTAACTCGATTGTCTGACCATCACAATTTCTCTCTTGTCAAATCTTTATTAAATTAAGGACAAAATGTTCTGTCACTGTCTGATGTTATTATTCCACTGGGTGATACAAAGAGACAATCTGAATTATTCACTGCACCTATCGGCAATCAGAATTTTATGCTTCACCGAGCGTAACTTAAACTAAAAAGCTTATTATAGATAAATTGTGGATTTTTTAAACACTTTTGGATTCTTGCATCAGCATTTAATATTCGATAACTTGCAGGGATAAGACAGATAACGTATAAATGTAAATATAAAAAATAAAAATACAGTAAATATAAAAAAAATAAATGCTGTGTAGCTTTTCTGGTGGAGAGTCTGCTGGATTCTTTGTCCATGTAGATGTCCCTACTTTTTTAGAAATGCTCCACAGTATGACATTGAGCTTATTTATCTCCATGGAAACCAGCAACCAGGGGAAGTTACAGGTCAGATCTGTGGAGAAGCAACCCTGCTTATAGTAAGAATGCATGTTTTTTGATAAATTTTTGCGGAAAACACCTAAAATTGAATCGATACAAATACTGCAACATTGTGGGACATTCCAGGTAAAGTTATAACATCTCCCCGGACCCTGGACCGGTAAAGTTACATAGTGCGTCTTTAAATGACCCGAAGAAAAGCAGTTTAAAGTCAGATTCAAAGCGGTGCGTTCAGAGTCCTCACCCATCCACGCAGCACCTCGAAGACGGTCACCCCGAGCGACCACCAGTCCACCTCAAACGCGTAGCCCGTCCCCCCGCTAACGAAGGACTGGAAGATCTCAGGCGCTGGAAACACACACAAAAACACACACAAACGCTTTTCAGTGATATCAGATTAAGAGTTTACTGGACACTATAAATACAGTACAAACAGAAGGAAACTAAATCACATGAGATGGTCTGAAATCCAAGGAAAAAAAAAACAATATGGATCTAAACAAAAAATTTAAGGGCACCTTTCGCTACCAAAACAAATCAATACAATTAGGATGTAAGCAAATAACAGTTGGTTAAAGAGACAGTTCAGAATTTTGGACATAGGACCTGATTTCCTAGTGAGCCAGAGTGTTGGAGACGTGTGGAGACACTTTTTAAAATATTCCATCCAGTCCTTGTATTTGCAGAGGTCGCTGGTGCTAGGCTAGTGCATGTCAATGGCCATAGTTATCCTGCCACTACAAACAGTCTTACCCACTCCACAAAACACCTGAAACAAAACATTTATTACACCAGACTGTTGATGTAAATGTCTGTGTCGATGGAATAATTTTAGAAGTAAAATCAATCTTGCATTTGAAGGATTTCTGTCTGAGCAGCAACAGCAGCAGTGAGTTGTACTTCCTGATAGAAAGTTCGGCAGCGGCGGACTGATATATGAGAAAATAGTCCCTCAACATGCGATGCAAGGTTAGTTTTATTTCAAACATTATTCTATCAACACAGACATTAACATCGACAGTCTGGTGTAATAATAGTTTTGCTTCGGGTGTTTTGTGGAGTGGGTAAGACTGTTTTTAGTGGCAGGATAACTATGGCCATTGACATGCACTAGCCTAGCACCAGTGACCTCTGCAAATACAAGGACTGGGTGGAATATTTTTAAAAGTGTCTCCACACGTCTCCAACATTCTGGCTCACTAGGAAATTAGGTCCTATGTCCAAAATTCTAGACTGTCCCTTTAATGCTAACTTGTTTGTAATTTGTTTAACAGCACACACCAAGCTCACTCCATTATGCAATTTAATCATCTTTGTTTTGAAATCCAGTCCATGTTATAATATTTTTGGTTTGTAAATTTATATTTTTACTGTATTTGCACAGGAGGTTAGGCAATGCTGCTATTCTGACATGCCGCTATTTGGACATTGACGTCTAATTATTGGAGTAGTGACATAAACATTACTTTTCAAGCGTCCCATAACATCGACTTTTTTTCCCCCTTGTCGGAGTAGTGGGACTTTACTATTTTTCAAACGTTCCACTTTTCTGACATGAATAACATTAATGTTAATCAACTTAATTAAAATATCTATAAATTAAAGTTATTATATAAACATAGGTCTGGTCACAGTTGGTGTATTGAACCTTACCGTTGTTGGTCTGCTTCTGTTACACTACCAAACTATAACGGTGACTCATTATCTGCACTTGTAAGTAGTTCATATAGTTTATAGGGCCCTTTGTGATTCATTCATTTTGTCATGTAGGTCAGTGGTCCCCAACCTGTTTGTTTTTTTTTTTTTTTGTTTTATGTCCGACAATATTTTGCGAACCGGGAGGAGGGTGGGCTGTTTTCTTTTACGGGACAATATTTTCACGGACCGCCAGCGTATAGGCATGGTTTAGTCCTGGTTAAATTCTGTTTTAGTCCTGGTTTTAGACTTGGTTTTATACCTGGTTTAGATCAGGTTTAGACCTGATTTTAGTCTTGGTTGTAGATCTGGTTTAGTTCTGGTTTAGTCCTGGTTAAATCTTGTTTTAGACCTGTTTTAGACCAGATTTTAGTCCTGATTTTAATTCTGATTTAGTCCCGGTTTAGTCCTGGTTGAATCCTGTTTTAGACCTGGTTTAGACCTGGTTTAGACCTGGTTTAGACCTGATTTTAGTCCTGGTTTTAGTTCTTGTTTCATTCTGGTTTAGTCCTGGTTAAATCCTGTTTTAGTCCTGGTTTAGTCCTAGTTTTAGACTTGGATTAGACCTGGTTTAAACCTGATTTTAGTCCTGGTTTTAATTCTTGTTTCATTCTGGTTTAGTCCTGGTTAAATCCTGTTTTAATCTTGGTTTAGTCCTAGTTTTAGACTTGGTTTAGACCTGGTTTAAACTGATTTTAGTCCTGGTTTTAATTCTTGTTTCTTTCTGGTTTAGTCCTGGTTAAATCCTGTTTTAATCTTGGTTTAGTCCTAGTTTTAGACTTGGTTTAGACCTGGTTTAGACCTGATTTTAGTCCTGATTTTAGGTCTGGTTTAGTTCTGGTTTAGTCCTGATTTTTGATCTGGTTTAGTTCTGGTTTAGTCCTGGTTAAATCCTTTTTTAGTCCTGATTTTAGACTTTGTTTTAGACATGGTTTAGTCCTGGTTTTAGACCTTGTTTAGATCTGATTTTAGTCCTGGTTTTAGTTCTTGTTTAGTTCTGGTTTAGCCCAGGCTAAATCCTGTTTTAGTCCTGGTTTAGTCCTGGTTTTTGACCTGGTTTAGACCTGATTTTAGTCCCGATTTTTGATCTGGTTTAGTTCTGGTTTAGTCCTGGTTAAATCCTGTTTTAGTCCTGATTTTAGACTTGGTTTTAGACCTGGTTCAGACCTGATTTTAGTCCTGGATTTAATTCTGGTTTAGTTCTGGTTTAGTCCTGGTTTTAGACCTGGTTTAGTCCTGGTGTTAGTTCTGGTTTAGTTTTGGTTTAGTCCTGGTTTTAGTTCCGGTTTAGAGGCGCGGGAAACACGGGAGGGGGATTTCGCTCTTTCACGGCCCGGTACCAAACAACCCACGGCCTGGAACTGGTCCACGGTTCAGTGGTTGGGGATCTGTGGAGAACACCATATATGACGTGTCGGAATAGTGATACTAAAAAGTGTCGGAAAACCGGGAAACACGTCTTAATAGAGGCATGTCATACTGAAGGGATGTCGGAATAGGCGGCAGACCCCAAGGCGAGGCAAGTTTATTTGGAAAGCACAATTTTTACTTTTAATTATCTTTATCTTTTATTATCTTTACATTATTTTTGCATCTTAAAAAGTCGAGTTAAGCATATCTAACGTAAATCTAATTTGAGTAACAGCGCCTCAGACGGAGCAGCAGCGCCTAACGTAAATCTAATTTGAGTAACAGCGCCTCAGACGGAGCAGTGCCTCCGGTTAGCTCCACCCCCAAAGGAATGTCGATGGCATCAGCTGAAAGGTATCACTCCGGCGCACAGACGGAGGCGAGTCTGGCGCTCCGGGAGAGGTTTCAAAGAGTCTACAGTGGTCTGGGAGCAGAGAGGAGGGAGACGCTTCTTCAAAATGTCAGCTCTAAAAACGGCTCATTTTCCCCGCGCGCCGTGATGAGGTCTGCAGACAGGAGCGAGCCTTCGCACAAAGAGCACACGATTCAGTCCGGATTCACACAACAGCCTTTTGGGAGTCACCAGTGGAAAGCTACAGATCCTTAACCTTTTATTTCTTATTTAACTTTTTTAGCAAACGCTTTTTAACTTTCTTTTAAAGGTCTTTCTTGTGGTGTTTCTCAGCCTGTGAACTCAGCTTGAGCGAGACTCTTGGTCAGAAGTACTAGACAACTATCCACGGGTTTCAAAATGATTCAAAATGAGTTAGGACCGGGTCTGTTGCCATAGCGATTAAGAATTTAATAGTTGCATAAGAGCGAAAAGCTTCCAGAGAAAACCCACCAAGGCTCCAGACAGTCCAAGAATCTAACCAAACACGACACTTTCTAAGGTTTGATTTTCTTAAAGACAATTTAAGATTCTGATCTGACTACCGTATTTTCCGGACTATTAGGCGCACTGTCATTAAATGGTCTATTTTCGAACTTTTTTCACAAATAAACTGCACCGGACTTTAAACGAAACACAACAGTCGGATGGGCAGTGTTGGGAAGGTGACTTTTAAAATGTATTCCCCTACAGATTACAGATTACATACCCCAAAATGTAGTTTGTAACGTAATCCATTAAATTACTTTAGGTGAGTAACGTAATCTGAATACTTTGGATTACTTGATTTTCTGTAGAGAAGCAAAGACTAGAATATCATATCATAAGATGTTTTGTCTGCTAAAAGAAAATAAAAAGCCCAGACTTTACTGAACCGAATTAAAAATATTATTGACAGAAAAGGAGGAAAATCCTGGTTTAGACCTGGTTTTAATCCTGGTCTAGTCCTGTTAAATCCTGTTAGATCCTGGTTTAGACCTGGTTTTAGTCCTGGTTTAGATCTAGTTTAGACCTGGTTTTAGTCCTGGTTTAGTCCTGGTTTTAGACCTGGTTTAGACCTGGTTTTAGACCTGATTTAGTCCTGGTTTAGTAGTCCTGGTTTAGACCTGGTTTTAGTTTAGACCTGGTTTTTAGACCTGGTTTTAGACCTGGTTTAGACCTGGTTTTAGACCTGGTTTAGACCTGGTTTAGACCTGGTTTAGACCTGGTTTTAGACCTGGTTTAGACCTGATTTAGCTCTAGTTTTTAGTTTAGGAATTACCGAAAAAAAAAAAAAGAAAAAAAAAAGGGGGGGATACAGCCCAAAATGTGAAAACAGGAAAATACCGCCGTGTGAATCCATTTATTTCAACAAAGTAACTGTAATCCAATTAACCACTCACTGAAACAGTAACTGTAACTGAATACAGTTACTCATAATTTGTACTCTGATTACGTAACTCCAGTACATGTAATCTGTTACTCCCCAACATTGTTCAGGGGTCAGTGGGACTTTGTTTCACGTTCACGGTGACTCTGGGCTTTGTTCAGTTGTGGCGTGTAGGGAGGTGTTGTCTGGGACCAACGGATTCGTTCGCAGTGACTCAGTATTTCAGTTGTGGCTCAGAGTGGCACATTGGACTCGCTTTTTCGGTTCGTTCTTCCGTTCCGTTCCTCGTCGGCGTGGAGTGATGAGTGTGTCTGTGGGTGTTTTGCGCTGTGCGGTCGCTGTCTGCTCCGTGTGTGTTTGCGTGCGCTGCAGGTGGTGTGGCTTTGTAGTTTACTGAAGTCGTGCTGGGACACCCGAGAGGATTTGTGTATAGGGCGCTCTGGATTGCGGCGCGTGTGGTCGTTTTTAGATGGGGTTACAGGCTTAAAAGCGCATCATCTTCGTTTTGCCTTTAAGAGTTCACTAAAGCCGATTGCTTTTTTGAGAGTAAACGCTTCACTCTAATTGGTTAAATCCACCTGTCACTCACTCAGAGCATGACAGCGGCTGACAATAAGAGGAGTGGGTGGGGAAAAGTGTCTGTTGGAGCGTTAAGTCAAAAAGCTGAATGTTCGGAAAATGATGCCAAAATATAGTTTATAAATGCATCGATAATCAGTGAAATTCAGTGAAGTGAAATTCTTGATCTCTGCTCTTTGCCACAACTCCAGCAATTGGCGCCAATTATCCGCCGTTACCCAGCGCTCATTTACATACAAATTGGCGTCAGCGTTCATTTGTATTTTAGAAAAACAAAAGCAAAAGTTTATTTTGTTAAATGAAGGTTTAAACTATCAGAAAAGTCTTTCTTATGCGTAAATTATCTCTGCATCCTTTATTCCTATACTTTTTTCTCAACTTTTTTCCCACAAACTGCCACAACTGATGTAAAACTATTGACACTTTATGGCTGATGTCATCTGCATTCACTGGGGGTGTGATGCTAACTGGAAGCACTGCTCTGTCTGAAGACCTGTCACTAAAAATAGACTTTAATTTGAGTTGTTTTTTTTTTGTTTGTTTGTTTTTTTCATTTCATCACATAAAGAACATACTTAGTTGGAACTACAACAGGTGAGATTGTTAGTGCTGTGAAACAAGTCTCTCAAATAAAATTACAGTCACATGCAAGCGAGTATCAACAGTTTTTCTGCTAGTCACTCTCAAAGTTTTGTTGAAAATCAAACTAAACACACCATGAATGCTTGTATTGCTCACAGGCTCCAGAAAATGTGTTTAAATTAAATTTGTTTGTTTTTTTTTTCAGACAATCTTCAAATTTTTTTTTTGTCTGTGTTTGTAAATTTGATAATACAATTTTATGGTTTGTTTTTAAAGTGCTTCATGGACTGGCCCCAAGGTACATTTCAGACCTCATTTTCCTACACTCCTTCACACGCTCTGAGGTCTGAGGCCAGGTCCAACTTGTCGACTCAAAAGCTGGGGTGACCCTTGGATGACCCTGGGGTGACCGGGCCTTTTCTGTGATTGGCCCCAAACTGTAGAACGCTCTTCCCCCTCACATTAAGAGCGCCCCTTCAGTCCATTTTTTAAAGTCTTGTTTAAAAACACACTTTTACTCACTGGATTTAACACGGCGTGAGAATTGTGTGGTCCTCTCACTGTCTTTTATTGATTTTATTTGCTATTTTTCTAATTTTCTATCCATCCATTCATCCATTTTCTTCCACTTATCCAGGGCCAGGTCACGGGGGCAGCAGTCTAAGCAAGGACTCCCAGACTTCCTTCACCCCGTACACTTCCTCCAGCTCCTCCGGGGGTCCAGATGTCCAGGTGTCCCTCCAGCGTGTCCTGGATCTTCCTAGGGGCCTCCTTCTGGTGGGACATGCCTGGAACATCTCCCGAGATGTCCCAGGAGACATCCTGAACCCCCAGTCACCTCAGCTGCTCCTCTCGACGTGGAGGAGCAGCGGCTCTACTCTGAGCTCCTACCATGTAACTGAGCACCTTACCCTATCTCTAAGTGAGCGCTCAGAGACTCTGTGGAGGAAACTCATTTCGACCGTTTGTATCTGTGACCTTGTCCTTTCGGTCATTACCCAGAGCTCATGACCAGGTGAGGGGAGGAACGTAGACTGATCAGTCTAAACCCAGGTCCAAACCCTGGTCTAAACCTAGTCTAATTCAGGACTAATCCAGGACTAAACCAGGACTAAACCAAGACTAAACCAAGACTAAACCAAGTCTAAATCAAGTCTAAAACCAGGACTAAACCAGGTCTAAACCAGGACAAAACCAAGTCTAAACCAGCATTTAACAGGACTAAACTATGCTGCGCGGACCGTGTCTCCTCCTCTTCCAATAATATTTTAATACGGTTAAGTAAAGTCTGGGCTTTTTATTGTCTTTTAACAGACAACACATCTCATGTGAAGATTTCCTCATCTTTGCTTCTCTACAGCAAATCAAGTAATCCAAAGTATTCAGATTACATTACTCACCTTAAGTAACTTAATGGATTCCGTTACAAACTACATTTTGGGGTGTGTAATCTGTAATCTGTAGGGGAATACATTTTAAAGTAACCTTCCCAACACTGTGCGTTGGTAAAATGTGCTACACAAATAAATCTGGATTGAATTGAAAGTGTGCATTGTGACCAGCGTGACCTGACTAAAGTATCAGTGTAAAAAACCTCAAGTCATATCCCCCCAAACCAAGTATAAATTAGAAATAAAACATGAAAATGTCATATGCACCAAACGTATCCACACCAAGTACTGAGTGGTAATATACAGGAGTCGTTCATATAGTCGTGAGCAGTTTGACGGACACATAAATTAAAATACGTTTGTACACGGAGCGGAGTGACAGATCTGAGGTGATGTTTTACCCATGTAGGGCTTGGTCCCCGCCAGCGCCGTGGCTCTCTCTCCGTCCTTTATGATGGTGGCGATGTTGAAGTCTGTCAGGTGAGCGTGACCTGGGCCGATACAGAAAACACATTCAGATCCATCACGGCCACTCAAACGTCTGTCTGAACGGCCACTGCGCTAAAATAATGTGGTGTTTCCTGTCACGGTGGGTTATAATGAGAACATGTTTCATATTGGAGTCGTTCATTACAGCCCTGATCCACTAATACGATATGTCAAAGCTGAAGCACTGAAATCTTTAATCTTAATAAAAAGCTTTTGTGTAGAGACTGTGGAGAATAACAATGAGCAGAGAGGAGGGATGTCAGTGGAGGAGATTGATTGGCAGATTAATATGCGTTTAGAAACAAGCTCCATGGCATTTTTATAATTCAGTCCAGATGTTTATGCCATTTTCTGATCTATGTTATAATGATTTTCCTCATCAAAAACACACCTGGAGAATAAGTGTGTCATTCGTTCATTCGTTTTTCAAAATAAAACCAAAATGAAGAAAGGGATAGTGATTCATTTTTTCAGTTTTCGATTTTGTGTTTAAATGAAAAATGGAAAAAAACGGATAATGGCCGTTTCCCGTTTCCGTGGGTTAAGCTGCGATAATGGACTTTTGTGCAGCATACGGACTGAACCAGGACTAAATCAGGACTAAACCAGGACTAAAGCAGGTCCGACCAAACCAGAACCAGACCAGGACTGAAACCAGGACTTAGAAAGGGACCAGACCTGGACTGAGTCTGGGACCAGGACCAGGACTGAGACCAGGACTGTGGCTGGGACCAGACCAGGACCAGGTCGTGATTGAGATAAGGACTGAGACCAGGACCAGACCGGGACTGAGACCGGGACTAAACCAGAACTAGACCAGGATTGAGACTGGGACCATACCAAGGCTGAAAAAGGTTTAGTCTTTTTTATCCTGGTTCAGTCCTGTTTTAGTCCTGGTTTTAGTCCTGTTTTAGTCTGTTTTAGTCCTGGTTTAGTCATGTTTTAGTCCTGGTTCAGTCCTGTTTTAGTCCTGGTTTAGTCCTGGTTCAGTCCTGTTTTAGTCCTGGTTTTAGTCCTGTTTTAGTTCTTGTTCAGTCCTGTTTTAGTCCTGGTTTAGTCCTGGTTCAGACCTGTTTTAGTCCTGTTTTGGTCTTGGTTCAGTCCTGTTTTAGTCCTGGTTCAGTCCGGCATCATTTAAGTCACGTAAATGGGAAACGGAAGTTATCGTTTTTTTTCCATTTTTCATTTAAACACAAAATTGAAAACTGAAAAAATGTATCATTATCTGTTGTTGTTTTTTTCATTTTGGTTTTGGAGACAAATAATGAAGAAAATAGATATGTTTTTCTTCTTATTATTTTTGGTTTTATTTTGAAAAACAAAGTTTGCCAATGATTTGTCTGGAATGTAGAAACAAAAACTGTCAGAAAGTCCAGAGCTTTCTTTGTCATCTTATAAACTGACCAAGGTGAAAGATTTAGTTTGATCTGTTCTCATAAAATTGAGTTAAAATGAATTCATAATTTTAAAGGTGGACAATGTAACTTTTCTGATGAGGTATCTACAGAAGCCGAGAGGGGTCACAACAAACGCAAACGCCGCAACAAATACAAATGCGACAACACAACAAAAAGCCACAACAAACCAAAAAAAAGTCACAGCGGAAATGACCGCGGGACTCTATTTTAATGCAAACGCCACAACAAATACAAACGCCACAACACAAACGCAAATGCAGCAACACATTAAAAAGTCACAACACATCAAAAAGCCACAACGGAAGTGACCGCGGGACTCTATTTTCCGACGGACCGATCAAGCGGCAAGTGAAGGAGAGGAACTACAACGTGAAAAGTAAAGGAACGGAGAAGTTGGAAACGTAAGTAAAAGTAATTTATTGTTTTATGATTATTCGTTTCACGTTGTAGTTCTTCTCCTTCACTTGCCGCTTGATCGGTCCTTCGGAAAATAGAGTCCCGCGGTCATTTCCGTTGTGGCTTTTTTTGGTTCGTTGTGGCTTTTTGTTGTGTTGTCGCATTTGTGTTTGTTGCGGCGTTTGCGTTTGTTGTGACCCCTCTCGGCTTCCGTAGGTATCTGCCTCTTGCTTCTCTCCGTGGAGACGTTATAGCTTTGTCTTCATGGAGGTGGATACATTAAATGCTTTAATATGTAATATTCTTAGCACAGCAATAACATCACCATGGAGACATGCAGAAAACGAACCCTCCACCAGAAAAGTTACAAATTGCAGCTTTAAATCATGTGGTGCCAGGTTGATTACTAACCACAAAAAATATCTGATTCAAATGTGTGTTGTGTTTCCAGTGTATCCTGTCGTCTGAGGAGCATTTCTGTCACTTGGCCTCAGTCTGTAATCACTGTCACAATGTCCTGAGCTTCTTCAGCTGCTCCGTGCACTTACCCTGTTCGTCCAGTAGGATGTTGTCTGGTTTGACGTCTCTGTAGAAAAACACAAAGATCAATACATCAGCATGGCGCATAGATTTCCCATGTGTTATTACTGAATGTGTATGTAGCAGCTCTGAGCAGCCATCTTGGTCAGGTCACGTGCTGCTCTCTGTGGAGGAGGTGTGAATTACATATTGATGCAACATGTTTAACACATTGTGTGTCTGGGAAAACTGGTGCACTGTAAAAAGAAATACAGTTTAAATCTCTTGAATATAGTATTATGTTTAGATTTATAGAGTTTATGTTTTGTTTGTTATGTTTGTTTATTTATTTTTTTATTAGTAGTAGTATTTAATGAAAAAAAGTAAACTTGAAGGTACCATTTGACTGCCACATGCCCAGTGTTGGGAAGGAGACTTTTAAAATGTATTCCCCTACAGATTACAGATTACATACCCCAAAGTGTAGTTTGTAACTGAATCCATTAAATTACTTAAAGTGAGCAACGTAATCTGGATTACTTGATATTATCATGCTTTTTAAAACTACATGAATGTACCAACCACATCCTGCAACGTCTCCATGAACAGGCTTTTGTTTGCTGTAGAGAAACAAAGACTAGGATTCTTAACATGAGATGTTTTGTCTGTTTAAAGACAATAAAAAGCCCAGTCTTTCCTTAACCGTATTAAAAATATTATTCCTAGTTTAGTCCTGGTTTTAGTCCTGGTTTAGTTCTGGTTTTAGTCAAGGTTTAGTCAAGGTTTAGTCCTGGTTTAGTTCTGGTTTAGTCCTGGTTTTAGTCCTGGTTTTAGTCCTGGTTTAGTCCTGGTTTTGTCCTGATATAGTTCTGGGTTTAGTTCTGGTTTAGTCCTGATTTAGTCCTGATATAGTTCTGGGATTAGTTCTGGGTTAGTCCTGATATAGTTCTGGGTTAGTCCTGGTTTAGTCCTGGGTTTAGTCCTGGTTTTAGTCCTGTTTTAGTCCTGTTTTTAGTCCTGGTTTAGCCCAAAATGTGAAAACAGGAAAATACCGCCGTGTGATCCATTTATTTCAACAAAGTAACTGTAATCCAATTACCACTCACTGAAACAGTAACTGTAACTGAATACAGTTACTCATAATTTGTACTCTGATTACGTAACTCTGGTACATGTAATCTGTTACTCCCCAACACTGCCACATGCCCTATGGAGATGTTATTGCTTTGCCTGGAATGTTCCACAGTTTACCAACAAATACTGTGAGTCTGGTTTCCTCTCCACAGATCTGTAATTTATAATGTGTAGTTTGGTTTGGTGGCAAGTCTCCATGGAGATAAGATTTATTGCCACACTGAGGAACATTTCAGACAAAGCAGTAGGTTGGGTTCATGTACAATATTACATCGTTCAAAAATCTAATCCCCCAGTTTGAGTCGAGCTGGAGGACAGGTCAGAGTTCTGTTCTAATTGCTGGAATTAATTAACTGTCAGATTGTAGATTAGACTTGTTAATTGGTTCATTTCTCTGTAATTACTGGGCCCATCCACATGAAACAAAAACTGACATAAACAAAAACTCGCAAGTCCGTATGAATTTAAAGTATTCTCAAGACGGTGTCATGGTAAATTTCCATGTAGGCATATTCCTTCTAGTCTAGGGTGCTTCCAATGGTACAAATGGGGAAAATGCAGATTGTTACTTAGAAAAACCTGTAAAAGCGGAGACTTAATCCATGCCTCTTAAACCGGTGCCATAGGTTTCGACCATGTGATATGTTCTATAATTATATCAGGACTTCTTGTGCTAATATGTTTCGTTTCTACTCTACTGTTCACAGCATCAGTGTGGAGAAATGTGTAAATCTGTGTGTGGATGTGCAGGCATCTGTGCTCTCAAAACTATTCTAGTTGAACTGAGTCTTTGCAATGATATTGTAGTAATGAAAGTCTAGAACCTTTTTTCTGTAAATAACTTGACCCCCTAAAAACTGCCAGTTCAATGTCTTTTCTGTCAGAATATATACAAGTATAAAAGTAAATTATTTTTCTTTCAACAGATTCAGAAGACTTGATTGTTGTCAGTTTACCTTTAACCAAGTTTGTGGAGCCAGTTTGTAACAAATAATGATAAGGCTCAACATTTGTGGATCACAAGTTTGTAGATTTCTCCCAAAAAATGCAATTTGGCCCGCAATATAATTATATTTGGCCCGCAAGATCATATCAAATATGTATTAGAGCTGCCCGCCGGCTAAAGATAGACTATAGAGAGATTATTTATTTAAAATTTTGTTATTATGTTATATGATGCTTGTTCTGGATTCAGTGTTTAAGCAAAACTATTATTAAACATTTATTTTAATAAGAAAAGATATGAGAGAATGAGAGCCTCGCACATCAACTACTAGAGACGGGTGCGTTGGAGGAGAGGGAGCAGCCCCAGAACATACAGAAAAATCCCACACACCGTCTTACTTGCAAACTGTGAAATTTATTAGGACAAACCGTGCAACGTTTCGGCACTAGGCCTTCGTCAGGCAAACAGAATGAGAGCTCAGGTGGCCATCTTAAATAGGGTGTGGCAAGCACCCAAGGGTGACAGGTCATAAAGAAACAGTGCACACAAAACCCCATAATTCAAAAAACAAAGACAGTCAACATATAGTGTAATAATAATACAAATAATAATAATGAAATCATCATATAACAATCATAGAATAATAACTATATTCTACACTATATGTTGACTGTCTTTGTTTTTTGAATTATGGGGTTTTGTGTGCACTGTTTCTTTATGACCTGTCACCCTTGGGTGCTTGCCACACCCTATTTAAGATGGCCACCTGAGCTCTCATTCTGTTTGCCTGACGAAGGCCTAGTGCCGAAACGTTGCACGGTTTGTCCTAATAAATTTCACAGTTTGCAAGTAAGACGGTGTGCGGGATTTTTCAATAAGAAAAGATTTAACATTACATATCTCGAAAGAAGAGAGAAAACATGCAGATGTTGTTGAAATTTTCAGTTTGGCCCACGACTTTTTCCCAGTTTTTAATTTTGGCCCTCTGTGACTTTGAGTTTGACACCCCTGACCTAGAGCTACATAAACCACCAGGGCCGAATATCATTAAGAAGTTGCTGATATGATACATGCTTCAATACAACACATATCTCGATACAGTGCACTTTTGATTTGATACGATATATTTCAAATCGGTTCAATAAAAAATAATGGCTAAATCATTCCTAACAAATAATGATAAAGCTCAAAATGTGTGGATCATAAATTTATACATTTCTTCGAAAAACAGAGGCACATAAACCACTGGGGCTGTGAACCATAAAGAAGTTGCCGATATGATACATACCTCGATACATAGGCCAGGATACGATACATATCTCGATACAGTGCACTTTCGATTCGATAAGATATATTTCAAACCGATTCGATAGAGTTCAATAAAAAAATTAAAAGCTAAATCATGGCTGTGATACTAAAAGTCTTTGTTAAACCACTTCTTGTGCAAAGTTAATATTAAAAACACAAATTTTAATAATCAAAACAGTGAATATGTCAAACAAGCAACAAAACTGTAGCACTTTAACAAAATAATTTAGTAAAATATACCAAAAAATACTCTTATATATCGATATTTCACTATTTATGCACACCCCAATAGACCGCTGCCCTCCATCTGAGACCTGAGCCCATTTCTTTAAGCAACGCTCTGATTCCCAGTGTAACTAATGAGATGTTGAGTTTTGCAGTGCAGCGGAGAGTATTTCTTAGCACAGCCTTGAGATGTTTCCCCGTAGACTCTTACAGGTTTGTCGGCACATGTCCGCACCACATTCTCACACTCCACATGCAATTAACAGAGCTCACAGTTGATTTAATTAAGCCTCAAATCATCAGGCCGCTGCTGCTGCTGAGGAGGAAGAGGAGAAGGCCCGCGGAGAGATCAACTCCTCCCCAAGGACGAGGAGGATAGGCTACGTTAAACTCATGTTAATATCACGGGGCTAAACTCTGACGTTGAAGCTGCGGGGAAGGTATGGTGTACTTTACTAAGAGGTGGATTACTGAGCAGGCTCTGCGACAAAACGAAATGTCAAATACTGTAAAACTAGAATGAATCAGACAATCTTATAAACGGGGAGTATGGTGAGGATTGGAGGTTCATAGAAATAATAAAAAATGGATTTGAAGTTGCGCAGTGGAGCATTTCTAGTAGAGGATCTGCCATCTGCTTCTTCATGGCGGTGTCATTGCTTTGCTTTACCTTGAATGTTCCGCAGTATGGCATTAAACTCGTCTATCTTGCATCAAATTATAGTTTTTTTAATTGTTTTTTCAGACTAAGACCCCATTTACACTGAAACGAATCCACGTATCACCGTATCGGAAACGATCTGCGTCCACACTCGTCGTTTCCGTGTCCGTTATCCTTCCCTATCCACACAGCTTTGAGTATATTTGTTTACGTTTTACAGAAATGAAACTTAAAACCGCATGGCTCATTTGCATAAACTGAGCACTCAAAAAAAACAGCACTCGAAAAGACACGACTCAGTGGAATATGAGTGTTCTTTCTGTGACAGAGGGGTGTTCTGCTGATGGTGAGTCTGTTCTCTGCTTTGGAGATGGTTCATGTTAAACTTTTCAGAGACTGAATGGACATATATTCTAGCCTCTTAGCGTTTTGGCAGTGAATTACTTCGCGGCGCACAGACCTACATCAGCGTTTTCAGGCGTCCACACGGTGCCGGATCAGATCTGTACTCAGTTGAATTCGTGGGAGTTGGAGGCACCAGGTCGTTCCGTCTCTGGAGCCGTCGGATTAGTGAGGACGAACACTGCATCCACAACGAAAACGACTTGAATACGTACTAGTGTGGACGGGGCCTAAGAGTTTGTTTTCATAGCTGACAGTTTTGATTAAAAAAACAACTATTTTCTTCATTATTTGTCTCCAAAACCAAAATGAAAAAAATGGATACCGATTTGTTTTTTCAGTTTTTGATTTTGTGTTTAAATGAATAATGGAAAAAACGGATAAAGTCTGT